CACTTGTTCCACTGTTTTAAAGCTGAACAAAAAGAACAAGTTAGATTTTATGTTTTCTTCTGGATATTTTTAGACTGCTGATGTCATTGCATCACAAAGGAAGACAGCAACAGAAATAAAACTGTCAACAGAGCAAGTGCCAGCGTTGCTGCATTGACAGTTTTTTTAGACCAGAGTAAAATGCCATTCGTCTTAAATGGTTTTGATAGTACTGTTTATGAAGTCAGTCTTTGGATGGTGAGGCGAGAGAGCTGTATTATATCACACACACACACACAGCACACACACACAACCCTCTCTAAATAAGTTTTGCAACAGTCATTTGAGTTGCTTTGAGTCTGTTTCTCTCCCTGGTCCCTCTGTCGTTGTCACCATGTGGTCACCAGTCCACTGCCTCAGAGTTTTTCCTGTCATGTGGCTTCCATTTCTGCCATAACTCACAGATAAAGTGTGGTGATAATATTTAGAATAACTGGCTTTGGTCAATCTGGTGCACAGCTACTATCTCATGGGCTGTATTTCTTCTGTCCACGTGTACCTCGGCAAATAGGATCAGTTTCCTCTAATGAAATCAACGAGGGCTTTGGATTTTATTTTTTCCACAAAACAAGATGGTGGTTGTACGTGCAAGATGTTAATTTGATTTCTGTTGCACAGCTAAAAGCCTATGGAGAATGGAGATTGATTTTTGTATTTTTTTCTCTTCTTCATCAAAGCTAAAACCACCGGTGGACGTGGACATAAAAAGGACAATAACAATGTGTGGTTTTGTTTTAGAACTATTAAAGACAAAGTATCTAGAAGAAAATTTGATGCATTTATGACACTTGTTGCAAACTCACCCGACTAAATGCAACTTAGTGTTTGCACACTGCGGTCCTTTCTCGTCATTGTTGCCTCTTCGCGCTGACGGTGCACAATTCCTCTCCAAATATTTAGATTGCACCATTGCAGCCTTTCTTAAACTTAATCTCTTACCTCAGCAGAACAATCGTGTTGCTGAACTAAGTTGTAGGTCAGGGCTGACATGAAGCATTCTGTAAACAGATGGCTCTTATTCTGGTGCAGCTGTTTACTGACCTGCGAGCCAAGTCCTCACAACGTTTCAGGGAAGGACTGTGGGGAACTCTTGCCGACGTGGTTTTCCTGTTTGAGCCTAAAGAGTGAATTCCGACGTTTGGTTTCTGTTGAAACGCAACTTTTGTGTCACAAGATGATGTTTTCGTTTGCCAAGTGAAACAGTTTCAAGTGCATCGCCTTAAACCGCACACATCATATTGTACAATGCCTGGTGTTTATTTTCTTAGCATTAATATTTAGCCATGTTATTGTTTTTTTAATGTTTATGCCTGTGTTGGAGAAAATTTGAAAAAAGTTAAAAAGCAAGACAAAAAAGTCTTTAGAAAACTGTTTGTGGGAGTTGATCAGATAAACAGAGAAAAATAAATTTTGATATCATGCATCCCTGAATCCTTACAAACCAGTAGGAATTTTTGCAAGATCAATGTGGTTGGACTATGAATTTGCAACAAGTGAAATGCAAGATGGCATATGATGTATTTCCATGCCAACTTCACTGTGTTATCACTGTGGAGGAGAGTGAAGGGGAAGCCAATGGCTTGAGAGAGACCAGTGTTTGACAGAGCCACAGCTTCAGTCAGCCTCCACTGTGAGCAGCTCTGTGTTCGCTCCCTTGTTCTTTCTGTTCCCAGCGTCTCTTGGCAGACACAGGCAGCAGGAATGTGAGGCAGCTCTGTGCTCCTCTTTGCTGGTCTGCTGGGGTGTGAGTGCTTGGTCCAGGACTGACTGTTTAGCTCAGGCTAGAATGGGCTGAACTTCCCTACTTTTCAATCCAAAGCGATGCAACGCATTGGCTGATGGTTGTTTCTGCAGTTCTGGGAGGGAAGAGGAGCCGCTCCCTGGCGCCTGAGCAAGGCATGGCCTCCCCTTCCTGTATGAGGCACTGATGGTTACCAGATGGTGGGCGAAGAGAGGAGAGGTTGTTCTCCCCCTTCCTTCTGTTCTTCTTACCCATTGTATCTTTTTGTATCCATTATTTTCTCCTAACCGTTGTCATCTATTCTTTTTGCCTCGTTGGCTAATGCAGCTAATTCTTCTCGTAACAAAGGTCGAGAAAAAGAACCGATGCTTAACAAACAGATGTGACAATGAGTTACATGTGCTCAACGATTCACTGAAGAATTGTCAGCACTGATTTCTGTTTCACACACTACCTCGTCACATGGCCATGTGGGACTCTGACCTTGATTGGCTGCAGTCCACAGACTCACCTGTTCAGCAGAGGCAGAAACACCTGATGTTTAAGAAAAAATCCTGCACCAACCAGCCAGTGTATCAGTAGTTTGTTTTGGGAAATTCTGTGATGGGAGAACACACTTATAATAATAATATTATCAGGCAGTCTTCAACATATGACAGCTGTCCCTCCCTCCCTCCCTCTCTCTCTCTCTCTCTCTGACTCTCCCCCTCTCTCACTCTTTCTATCTCCTCTCTCTCTCTCTTTCTCTCTCTCTCTGATACATGCGCTCTCTCCATCACTATCTCTCACTCACTCACTCTCACACATACACACAAATCTGGTTTTCTATTGCTTTGAATACAAGCTTTAAACGACACAGAATTCTTTAAACAACACACACACAAACCATTTTGTCCTAAAATATCAAATCTAGCTCATACACACACATACACACACAAACCGTTTTGTCCTAAAATATCAAATCTAGCTCTTGATGCAGGTCATAATGCAGTCGTGTCATTGTGTAAAGCTGCAGACATGCACGCTTAGGCACAGCTAGGATTCTACATTTTTTATATAATGTATAATAGAATATAATCAGTGAATACTTCACTGCTTTAGTCCAACCAACACCAAAACCTGTGAAGGTTCTGGGCATCGTGCACAACAACATCAGTCTATGATGATTTAGAAGTAATGGAAAGATGACAGATTACTATTTATGAGATGTTTTGTCAGTGTTTGAATGGAATTTGAATCAGTGAAAGTATTTCAAACACGTATATAAACACAGAAGAACATGGGGTTCCCTGCTGAAAAGTGTCAGCTAAATAGTGTCATCACACTTAAAGGCAACTTCTAAAAACAAAAATGTGAGTAACTGTATACGATCGCATTTAACTCCAAAGGTTCACCTGTCGTTAACCACACACATGCAGCTGGCGCTCTAGTTATGTGGTGCTGTGAGATCTGACCCCAGCCGCTGTGTCTGCAGCCCCTTAATATAGCCCACTGCTGTCATGGTACTTTTTACTCTCCTTTCTCTGGCTCAGTGCTCTGTGTGTACTCCACCATGGGTTTATTTATTCTTTTTTTTTTTTTTTTTTTTTTTTTTTTATGAGAACAAGCTGAGTTCGAAGGGGTTGGGGGATAGACAACCTTGAGACGAAATGTGAAATACTCGAACAGAACTGTGTAATGTCACACATTTGTGTGAGACAGACAGAGTTCTGAAAACAGGGGTTATTGTGCCATTGCACCATTATCCAATAATGCCACTTTTTAAGTTGTTTTCAATCCACCGTCTGTCAGGAGGTTTAAATCCACAGAACAGACCAAAAGTAGAGACTGAACGTTGAAAGGCTCTCTGCTTGTAACCACTGCTGTTCCCGCTGTGGCCACCGTCCCAATCCCTGATTGCATTAGAGTTACTATGGTGCCGTCCGTTATCTTTGGCCTGGGTTCATGCCAAAGGACGTGGAAGACTTGCGCACGCATTCACACAGACACACACACGCATTCACACAGACACAGGGATGTACCAGAGACCCCAGTACTCAACAAGCATTCAACCCTCTGACACTGAAGGACCTACTCCTCTGGTTTTCTGGCATACGGTTTCTGCTGGACTTTTGTTTTATTTTATTTTTATTTTTTTATGTGTTTTGAGCATGGAGTCCTCTGACCCTCTTCTTCTCAGGGCCAAACCTATTGTTTTCGGATAACCAACTTGGTCTGAAACTTTGGCAGAAAAAGGTTGGTATTGTTTTTACATTAACGACCAATTTAGTAGGAATTCAAACAAAGTGAATATTCTTCTCCTTTTTGTGCTTCACACTAGTCACACTGATTAACACAAGAGCAAAATAAACAGCTGTTTATATTATTTAAAAAATATATTTAGTTTGCATCCATTACTACTGCCTCCATATAGTAGCTTGTGCAGCCACTGGTGGAAATATCTCTTCTCTTAACTTAACTGCACAGTATTAGGTACTTTACATAACAGACCAACGTTTTAGCAGAAATTGATGTCTAATTAAAATTTGTTTTTCAAATACTCTTATTCTCCCTGGCACTAATGGATTTAAATTTCTTTTAAAAGGATCTTGCCAAGAATTTGCTAAAATGTTTTACATTTTTTCCATTACCACAAATTATAATTCCCAATGTCATTCATGCCACTGTCACATTCCACTGGGACATTTCTTTGCCCTCTTACATACTCATTTGTATCGTCTCCAAGTCGTTTGAGGCTGAAAGAAGGATTGTTGAAGGCCTTCGCATCAGCAAGCACATAACAGTTTGATCATGTGAACCAAATCTGCCATGCCAAAGGAATGTGTTGAATTCTAACCATGCAGCTCTGACAAGTGCATGTGACTTTGTGCAAGGGCTTAGATTGGTTAAGGCTGCAGAATCAGAGACGGAGTGAAAGAAACGAAGAAAAAAAACAGAGAGAATATCATGCATCTCTCTTGCCGTACGGCACGTCCCAGTTGTTTTTTGATATTTTTGACACCATTTCAATACTACAGACATAAACTTCTGCAGTTGTGATGGTATTTATTATTCTTTTATATAGTTTTAATAATAGCAGGTCACACTGAGTGCACGGTGAACTGTTGGAGGATAAAGATGAGTGAAGTAGAAACTGCAAGTTGTTAGGAATAATCTCCAGGCACGAAAACACACACACACCCATAGAAACCATTACACAGCAAAAGAAAAAAAAAAAAAAAAAAAAAAAAAAAAAATGCGGCAATTACAAAAAGGCAGACATTCTTTTCCCGCTTTGCATAATAGTTGGCTGTAAAACTGTATTGCGCTGTTATCTTCCCCTGTGGTATTGGCGGCCTGAAATGAATGTGCAGGGATTCCACGCATTCTAGACAAAACGTGAATCACTTAATAAAAATTGCGTGAATGCACATGCTGCACACGCACCACCTACATTCCCTTTCAACTGAAAGTGAAGCAGTATCATCTGAGCGGGACAATTGAGAGTGGAGGTGTGTACCAGTTTCAGGGGACTGGCTGAAAAGGGAGGTGTGTCTTAAATTGGCGGAGCAACAAGCTGGGACATGCTCAGCTGCTCGCTCATGGAACAGGCCACCAAACAGTGCTAATGCAACCAAGACAAATGACTGTGTCGTGTCTCGAGCCTATCAAAAGGGCGTTTGAATTTTTTCCATTTCCAGAAATCTACAATATCTGATGTGGAATTATATTGAAATGAGTCATAAGTTATTTTAACTTATGATTCATTTAATTTCTTGTGTTGTTCTGTGCTGAGAAACCAGACAACACATGTCTGTAAGCAGCACCTTCAACCACACAGATGTGTGTATCAGAGTCCATTTCCTTATCTCTGCGTGTGGAGTCTCAATCTGTTTCCTCATGGAAAGACTGCAGCAAGGATGGCCGTTAATCAGATCATGTCCAAGGCAACCTCTTACCAGCCGCCAAATGTGATTTAGAATAATCTTCATTAAAGTGATTGAATTACGCTGCTGCTGCTGCTGCTGCTGCTGCACACTGCATGGGGTAGTATTGGGTTAGTTGCACACACACAGATGACAAAGGGAATAAGCTGAGCTTTTTTTTTTAAATGCATTCATCAGTATGCAAACCTTGGATGTTAGTTGTTCAATATCTTCAGGAGGAAAGATTTCTGAATCCAAATCTTTTGTAGATTTTCTATGTTGCTAATGAAAATAAATTCCATCCACATGTAGACAGACATAAAACTCAACTCGGGCTGTTGCTCAACCAGCAACACGCTGTGGTGGGATGATGTGTCCTTGTGACATTGTTGATACCTCTTGATGACATCACTTGATCTCCAATCACTGAGCAAGCAACATTTTCAGCAGGCATAAACACATGGTGTCATGACTTGACATGTCTGGGGTGTGATCTCGTTTTTTTTCTGAAAACCCAACTTATTACATAGTTGGCCATTTTTAAATGGCTGCCAGATTCTAGTGTGATTAGTCTATAGCTCTGACGTGACCATTATAGATAGAAGAAGAAGAGTCTTTTGAGCAAATGCTATGTCTTTAAACACAGTAATGCTGGAGTAAAATACATATTAATGCTTGTGCAGAAATGCGTTCTCCTGCAGGTGTTGTCGTCGTTGTTTGTTCTTGCATGTTGGTAAGTAGCTAAAATGAAATCTTCTGCAGCGTTATCAGGAACCATTGCATTGTAGGTGTAGGTTGTTGTAGAAATGGTGTGAAATGAGGGTTGGGGTGGGCAGTTGTTGCCAGAGTAGGTGGTATGTTATTTTCAGTCCATTGTGTCTACTTCCTGTGGGTCAGGGGTTATTGGAGCAGGGTGTTGCAGACTTAAGGAAGTAAGAGGAGGGAGGGAAGTCAGCAGGGCAGGCAGGAAAGTGGCCATACTCGCACTACACCAGTGACTGGACAACAACTCTGCTTCATATTCACCGCTCTTTTAACGCTTATCCCCAGGCAGCGCTTGGACCCTTCAGACGCAGGTAGAGAGATATGACCTTCATTTTAGACTCTGTTCTTGTTGCAATTCACAGCATTTTAATTATATTCATTCTGATTTTGTATAAACCACATATCTAGCATGCATGTGGTTTACAATTGATGCTGCAAAAGGTGTCGTGACATGTTGACTTCAGTCAATAAAATGTTGTTGTTGTAGTTGTATGGTGACCTGCCTTGTCAGGTTGTTACTTTGTTATTATAAGGATAATTTTCTTATACAAAAAATGTGTATTTGAAGGTGACAGCTTTTTAGAAATACGCAAGATAAATTATAGCTTTTACACCTCTGATGAGTGCATCCTTGATCAGACCGGACAATTCTAACTTGGCTTGCCTTAAAAAAAATCACGAGACCACAGTAAAAGGAATGTAAACAAAGCCTCTTCCTCATCAAGTATTTGTCCAGCATTGATTATTTGTCAGGCTTGGTTTGTTTTCACATTTAGCAGCTGACTAATGCTGAGTTATTCCTGGCAGCGTCGTTTATGTTGAGTCCAATGTTTTTGCACCTGGGAGTGTGTTGATAGATACTGTATTGTTTGGAATTTGTGCCTCTTGCACAGTGTTACACAGGCAGATGAAAACATCTGCAGAACTCAGGATGTAAACAAGTCAGTCTGTTAACCTGCACAGTCACAGTCACAGTCCTGTCACAGATAATGGTGGAACTTTGCTGTCGTGTGTTAGAAATAAAAGAAAATTCTGAAAACGTGGTCACCCACGAGTGGATCCAGGACTTTTATGTGGATACTGAGCCTGAGTGAAGCAAAAGTGTCTTCTGAATATTGATGCAGTACAGACACTAAGTTAGTAAATGACTCTCTGTTGCAGGTTCCCTGTGTTGCATTTTTATTGCAAACAGTTGAGAATAAATCCTATTTGTTTGAACATCCCAGGGTTCAATGATTGACATTTAAGGTTTCAGGTATTCAAGGGTAGGGATGTAACGATGCACTCAACTCACCATACGACTACAGACAAATTATGACCAAATACAATGATTCTTTATTTGGAAGAACTATGCAAAATACCGTTGCCAACTGAAATTGCCTTTCGTACCTCACAAACTAAAATTGTTATCTTTAATAACACAATACAACAATCCACGATTCTTCACAGAAACACTGACCATCACCATTTATCTCCTCTTACTAAAAGTGAAACCAGTCTGGTCTGACATACCTATTAATTGTCTCTTAGACTATGTAGGTTACAGACACTAAGTTAGTAAATTACTCTCTATTGCAGGTTTCCTGTGTTGCATTTTTATTGTTGCAGTTGAGATTAAATCCTATTTGTTTGAACATCCCAGGGTTCAAATGTTAGAAATAACATTTTAGATTCATGTTTGATATACTGCTGTTGCAAATGGGACCATGATTGACATTTAAGGTTTCAGGTATTCAAGGGTATGGATGTAACGATGCACTCAACTCACCATACGACTACAGACAAATTATGACCAAATACAATGATTCTTTATTTGGAAGAACTATGCAAAATACCGTTGCCAACTGAAATGACCCTTTCGTACCTCACAAACTAAAATTGTTATCTTTAATAACACAATACAACAATCCACGATTCTTCACAGAAACACTGACCATCACCATTTATCTCCTCTTACTAAAAGTGAAACCAGTCTGGTCTGACATACCTATTAATTGTCTCTTAGACTATGTAGGGAGCTGATGTCTTGGTTTATGGTGGGTCACAACCGACGTTTTAGGTGCACACCGCCCCCTACTGTATTGGAGAGTGTATTCTCATGGTATAACCAGTGACTTTTTAAATAACCGTCCTTACTCCTTATGCCTTGATGCACAATTCTTTTTTTTTTTTAACCGATTGTCACACATTTTGTTTAGATTTTTAACTGATTTAGGATGCATTCTCACCTCTGTAGGCTAAATTCTTGCCAGCTTTCCATCAGAAGTGAATGATCTAAAAAAAGACAGACATTGCCATTGCTTTTTTTTCTACATTTTACAGACATAGCTGTTACAATATTGAGTTTCTAAAGTTAGCTCCTGACCACCCCCCCGACCCCTCCTAAACACAACCACAGTGACAAAAGGAGGCAAAACAGGAAATCTTTTTTGCCCAGAGTGTGTTGTACTGGGAACAGTTGACCAGGAAGATAAAAAGCTAACAAAGTGGAAACTTCCACTAAGGGATGTTATTTTGCCTGTGTGTGCATGTGTGTGTGCGTGTACAATCATTTTTATAATGTTTTACAAAGTCCTGTGTTCCCTGGAAAACATGCTAGTATATGTATTTAATTTAATTTAATTTATTTAGTCAAAAACTGTAACAAACTGAGCAGCCTCTTATGAAACCTAACCATTGATGCCTCGCTGCTCCCTCCGGTCAGACATAATGTTAAAGCGTGTTAATATTTAAACCTGAGTTAATGCTTCACCCCGTGAGCACAACTTAAGTCTGATGCTAAAAGCTGGGAGTGGGGGCAGGGAAGCCAGAATAGAGAGACAAAAAAACAAAACAAAAAACTTCTTGTGTTGAGAATGTCAGCTTGACTGCTACAGTAAGCCAGATTAAAGAAGCACTGAGTAGTTCATTTGTGTCATGCTCCTTCAGTTCTCCCTGTTGCCTCCTTACCACCCCCCCTTCTGTCTTTCTGTTCCTCCTCCTCTCTTTCTCCCTCTCCCTCCCTCGCTCTCCCCTTGTCCATCGTTGGATACTCTAATGAATGATACGGAATGATTACTTGTGGAGAGTTCCTGTCCCCGCCCTCTGAGAAAGAGTCCGAGCCTCAGCAGCAACAGTTGCTTATGTCCCAAAATAAGGGTTAACAGTTGGACCGTGATTCTGGACTTAATGACGTAGATACGAGCAGTTGTACCATCGAGAAAAAAAAAACAAAACTCTACACCAGGACAGGAGAGAATGTAAAAGTCCAAAAACTTCGGTAAGCTGTTTTTTTTTTCCATCATAGAATTGGTAGGAAAGTAACATGAGTCTATATGAGTTAATTTTTAGTCAAGGTCTTGTTAATGAGTATGAAATCCTAAATAAATCTCAACACTTAGAAAACGTTTAACATTGTTTTGTTGTTGTTATCACATCGTGAAAGCCGGTGAATACCTTTAAAACTGTTGCTCCATCAAATTTCTCATGTGTATCGTTGACAAAAAGACACATTATGCCTAAGGTCCGTGTTGTTTGGACGGTTAACGTGGGTTGCTCAGGCTGGGGTCAGATGGTGCCGAGCCGGGTGAGAATTTCACAGCTGCACATGAAAGAAGGCCGACGCTGAGGCCATAAGTTGGAGTTGTGTAATTTATGAAACATAACAAACGTGTTTGTTTTGTAACTGGAGCCGTTTCTCCTAATGTTGTACCTTCAATGAAAAGGAAGTAGAATAATGTTTTACTAATGTGATCAGAGACAGAAGGAAAGATGTCTTAAAACAATCTACCATTAAATAGTGCCTACACACACACACACACACACACACATGCACCCAATGTTTTTACATTACCCAACATATGTTACTTTACCAGTTTATTTTTGGCAAAGTAGGAATGCACAAATGTTACCTCCAGAGTGTCCCCAGCTGCATAAAACAACTGTTGAGTTTTTTGGTAGGGAGCCAACGTCTGTGAGCCTGTTGCCAACACAGGAGCTGGTGGAGGCTCATGTAACAGAGACATTTTCCATAAACAGCCTCATTAAATTGCTTTATTGTGCTAAGGAATTAAACAATAGGGGTACCTGTTGTTATTGGCGCTGTCAAATGACTATATATTTGAATTGTGATTAACCACAGGATAGCTGTGTATTAATCACAATTAATGTTGATTGATCTCAATGAATCAACGTTCAAAAATGTTTCTGTGTATTGTTGGAACAAAAAGACAAATGACTGCGGGTGGATGTATTTGTTTTTTTTTTTTGGGACTAATCCAATGATATTCCTTAGTTTCCTGTTTTTGGTGCTTCGGTCAAGACGTGGTCCTCGTACAGTCCTGTAAACATTTGACTATTGTGTCAGTCAGGTTGTCTGTTATAGACTGCCCTGTGCTTCAGGTGAGGCTGGTCTGGAAACCAGACCTCTCACTTAAAAAGTTAAACCCTCCAGACACGAATGCTTGGTGTTGAAATGGTATTTAAAGCTCAAGGTGCTTCTGTAAAACAAAAAGTATTTTCATATTTTTTTTTTTTGTAAATGACAACTTGTTGAATCCTATTGTCTCATTTGGTTACACCATATACACCATAGAGCTGCTATGAGTAAACACACACTGCTTTTATAGTGTATAGTGTCATTCTGAGCACGTGCTTCGATGTGTTAAAGATTAAACTGATCAATTTCACAAATGAATAATCTGTGTTAATATTGACAAACTCTACTGATTTTCGCTGATTCAACTCTCTTTATGAGTTTCATATATACATCATATATATACATATATACCTGATTCAACTCTTTTATGAGTTTCATATATACCTCATTACTACAACGGAAATAATATGCATTTTATAAATCCATTTACCAATACTACATAGTAAGGTTAACTGAGAGCCTTTGTATCAGGGACGAGCTGTGGTGGATAAATGCATGTTGCACAGAAAACAGTTTGTAGTCCTTAAAGATTATGTCTGGTTTCTGGAGTGTTTTTTTTCTTTTTTTGGGGGGGACTCAAGATTTTCACTGTTGTGTCTGTGACCTGTGTGGGAAGACGGGGCAGGCAAACACACACCGAACAAAGATGGGATGTTTGACTAGAACAAAGATAAGTTCTTGTTTTCTCTTGGGGAGGACACAGAAACGAAGAGGTTGACACTCGCATAGGAACTGTGCTGTGGATGTGGATGATAACCATGTAGTCCAGATACTGACAGGTGGGCTCTGGTCTGTAGTTGTGGACGTTTCTGTGACTGACCTGTAGTTGGACACAGTCGATGTTTTAGTTTTTATAGTATTTAATGAGTTAATACATTAAAGACGATACATTTG